GGGTGTCAATGGGGGAAAAAAGGAGAAACATCTGTAACAAAAGTAAATTCATAAAAAGTTAAAATAAAATAAAATACATTCATTTTATCAAAACCCCAAAGACATTTCTCTGGAAGTCAGTAGGTCCATTTCACATACAGTGGGCCAAACAGAATAGCGACATGTTTCTTAAACATATGAAGACATTTAGCTATTCTCCCACCTCTGCATCAGAGGATGAGCCTGGGCGACCTCAGGAAAGGAATCTTCATTCGGTCCTTCTTTGGGAAGGGAACGTCTCTGGGAAGTGGCACGGTGGCTAGATTGCTTTGATGCATCTGTTTGAGGCCATTCTTACCTGGCAGCCCTGACACAGCTGGGACATTCTAAGGCAGCCGAAAAACCACCTCCCAGACCTTTTATAATTACCAAGCAGTATGTGAAACAAATACCCTCAGCCCATGCCTGCCCTACATTGCGGACTCCCGCCTCGGGGGGTTCAAGAATGGGTGAAGGGTGGGGCAAGGCTTAGAGACTAGAATGAACTAACACATATTTATTGTGTACATTACTTGCTAATTAAAAAAAAAAAGTATATTTTTGCTCTTTTGAAAAATCCCTGTAAAAATAAGCCTTTGCACCAAAACACCCCTGTTCTTTGCACTATAATAAAAATTTTCATCTTCAAGGACACACATGGCCCTACTCAAGAAAGGGGAGCTCTGTTTGTTTGTTTGTTTGTTTGTTGTTTTGCCATGGGCAAGCCACAAAGATTTTAGAGGGCCCTGATAGAGAGTTTTCACTCCCTCTTGTGGCATATTCCTTTTGAAACACAGGAGGGGGTTAAGGCTACGAACTGAAGGGTGGCAATCTGATAAAGCAGACGGAGAAGATTTGCTCTACAAGGAGGTCATATCAAATTGAGAGGAAATGTTCTTTTCCTCTGTGCAATGTACTCAGCAGTCATTGGATTGCTGAGAAAACTGAGCAGGCTGCTTCCATGGGAAAAAGTATTCCTCAAATGACAACCTTTTAAGTCTCAATGTGCAATGACAAATATTACTAAAGTCAGAGAATAATCTTAACCCTAACCCTAACCTGAACCCGAACCTATACATATATTTTAGGACCAATCCAAAGAGATAGGATAACAAACAATCATTTTGATACTGAGTGTTAATTTTAAAAAAATTAGGTTGATATACATATATAAGAACATATTGTATAATAAATTTTTCCATTTAAGTCCTATCAATTATATTATGGGAATTTTGCATATTGAAGTTAGTCACAAAAATGAGTGAGTAATTATGTCAGTTACACATGGAAACTAAAATATCATTACATAAAAAACTTCATATTTCCAATGTGTTATTAAAGTTTTCAATGTGCATCCATATGTTTGGCCATGTACACACATTAGTTTTCATCAATCAGTTTTAAGGTTGGTAGAGATTAAAGAACGTGTCACCAACCTCCTATCCTACGGGTCAATATATGTTTCTCTTGAACATGAATTCTACCCCCATGCTCTGTTACTTCCCTGCTTTGAGCTCTCAGTGTCTTCTCCAGGATCATTTCTAGGCCATGCTATGGTCACCCTGTTCCCAGTCACTCCCACACCAGTCCATTCAACACAGATGACCAGACCAAGACTTCTCTGCAACACCAATCCAATCACTTCACTGTCTTTTATTTTTATCCTCACCCAAGGACACCCTGTTCAGATAGAGTGGGAGGGGGGGAGAGAGAGCGAGAGCGAGAGCGAGAGAGAGAGGTGAAAGGGACACATTGAGTGGCCACCCCCCACACGACCAAGAAGCGAAGGGTATACAGTGGAGGACGGGCAAGTGCGGCAAGAGAAAAACGAATCTCAGGAGACGTTCACAACTTTGTTAGCGTTTGAGAAATTATATGCATTTGGTCAAAACCAGAAGTATAGAACTCTGAAGATGTCAAATGCATTCTAAAAAAACAACAACAATCTTCTTTTTAAGTGTCCAAAGATCTTCAACGCATTTGAATGGCTTTATAAAATAAGCCTGAGAACCAGTGAAAGGGAATACGCCTGAACTCTGTGTGGAGGAAACTTCCTTGCCGAAGGGTTTAGGACTGAAACTCTTAGTCAGGCACTTAGACCACTTCATGGTTTGTTCCCTTCCTTCTTCTCTGTGGACTAATAATTTTAATTCCCAGCCTTAAACTAATTGCAATTTCCTAAACCTACCTTGCTATTTTATACTTCCGTGACTTTCCACAGGCCTTTTTCCTTTGTTGAGACTTTCTTTGCTTTCTATCTCTGCCCGCACAACGGATGCTTCCAAGCCCAGCTAAAGCATCACCTCTCTTCTGGGGACAATTTCCTTATCTCAGACTCCTTCCTCTATGTTATAATTAACCTTCTATGCATGCGGTAGTGGACTTAAAATAACGTACTGTACTTCTTTGTTTTCATGGCTAGTGTTCCCTCCCAGACGTGATAAAACCTGGAGGACAGAATCCGTGTCTTTTTTTAACTTGGTATTTCCTTAAAGAGGTTCCAGCACAAAATAGGTGCCCGATCTACGTGCCATGAGAGAGAAGATTATGAGGGAATGCTAATTATCCATGCCTTCCTTCCAGCTGTGTCTGTCCCATGACAAGCGCTTTCTCTGGCTGATTAGCATCTGTCTTTGCATTTCTGAGCTCAGCATCTAGTGCCAAGAGAAGATCAAGGAGAAGTGGTCTGCATCTTGATGCCAGATTTTAAAAGACTTTACTCACTTGGAGGAAAGAGCAGACGTGGAAAAAATGCCACCGAGGACTCGAAACAAAACAAAGTCCTTTCACAAATGGGGCTGCGTTTGTTTACATGTTCTGGAGTACAAATGTTTGAAAATATGCAATGGCAGTACAATAAGGTGTCGACTCCTGCAGGCAAAAAGCCAGAGACACACTCTCCCAAAATGGCCTATTAATTTCTCCTTTTAACCCACCCACTGCACAGCTTGAGAATGTATTTTAAAAATCTGATCTTGTTTTAAGCCATTAAAATATTTTCCAGTGTCTAAATAGCAGCCAGTTCTTCTTATATTATTCATGATTGCAGTGTGACCAGTTTTTCCACTACCTAACTGAGTGTAGTATCGTTTCCATTTGCCACTGCCTGATAGTATTGAGAAATGTAAGCTATAAACTGCACTCGTCAAGAAATATTAATGGGGGGGGAGGGTGGCCGTCTCTTTTTACAATACTTAAAAGCTTATGCTGTAATAATAAAAAGTTGGCCTTTATTCCCTGAAAGAGTTAAAAGAAGAACCTGAAGGAAATGAAAGTAAAATCCAACAGGATTACACAATTAAGGTGGGGTTAAAGAAAAATATTTTTAGTACCAGAAGAAATTTAAAATAAAGAACTAATGATAATAATACATGAGCGAGTCTGCTATTTGACCCAGCTGCTACTTGGTTATGTAACTAGAGAGTCCTTAACTACCGAGCAAGGCATTCACTGGAGAAGGCAGGGAAAATATATTTCCCTGGGTACCCATATGCATTCCACCAGCTGGCTGGGCTAGATAAAGAGGAAAATGGATTCCTGGTGGTTTAGACAGAAAGCACTAGAACAAAATCATGTCAGTTGTTGGCATGGTGAGACTAAGGGAACAGTGCTCGACAAGACTGGCTTGGGTGAGAACTGGAGGGGACAATGTCATACCCTACTGAGAAACATAGGACAAGGTGAAGCTGTGTGGTTTCAACTTATTAATTAGTAATATCTCCATACCCCGTAAGCTGTTATAAGTCTAGCATTTAAAACCATGGAGAGCCCTGGCCAGTTTGGCACAGTGGTTGGAGCATCGGCCCATGAACCAGAGAGTCCCAGGTTCGGTTCCTGCTAAGGGCACGTACCTTGGTTGCAGTTTGTCCCCAGCCCGGTTGGGGTCGTGTGGGTGGCAACCAATTGATGTGTCTCTCTCACATTGATGTTTCTCTCTCTCTTTCTCCCTCTCTCCCTCCTGCTCTATCTGAAGATAAATGCAAAAATGTCCTCTGGTGAGGATAAAAAATAAAGAAATAAAAATAAGACCACGGAGAGTTACAATACATGTTTAGGAATTTCAGAATGAAAAGGGGTAAGGTAATATCTCTACCTTGGGATACGACCCAGAATTCCCAGAGAGGTGTAACAGAATTCACGAATGCGGGCTGTTGCTCAAAGAGGCTAAGGACCCATATTTCTGCTTAACAGTGGAAAGGAAAGTTCAGGAAAACTTGCCTTGTGAGTGTGTTTGTACAAGTCGAGATTCTAGTAAATACATAAGAATCATCATGTTTTTTAGGACTTGCCTTTGACCCACATAATCTTTGATACAAATCTTCAAAATACACAGAGAGTGAATTATTAACACTTCCCACTTCTTTCCGGGGCCTCTGCTTGAGCTGTAATTATTGTATATCTCCTAAAAGCCATACTTTAAAAAGAGCTTTCCACCTATATTATTTATTTTACTTTGTTCCTCCACTCAAGAAGTAAGTCTTCCCCCACCCCCTCATCAAATCCATTCATTGCAGATTTTCTGAACATTTATATAGACACAGATTCCCTTGAGATATATATAAACTGTCCCCAAGCAAATTTTCATCCCATAATTTTGCCTGTGGGTACCAGGGTAGGAATTCCTGCTTTGTTGATTTGGTGTTATTCTGGTTTAGGTCGCATTATTAAGAAGGGCAACTCTAGTTTGTTCTGCAACTTTGCCGTGAACCCCTCCGAAGTGTGTGTGTGCGTGCGCCAGGTTCTGCGGTATATGACGAGATTGCAAGTTTGCTACATTTTTTCTTTCCTGTCTCTTTAGAATATCTAGAACTCATCCGCATTTCTTTCCATCACTCTCCAAGTGATCCATGTTGGTAAATCATAAAATATTGCACATACATTACCACAATATTTTTATAAAAGCCCAAGTGTTTGAATTTGCTTCTGAGCACATTTCTTCCCATACAAGTGTTGAAAGACATTGAAGACCATGGCAAAGTTACCTGGAAAAAACAATTCTCTTTGGAGTTTTTCTCTGGCCTGCTGCGAAAAGCATCTCTTCTTCAGCCATTCAGCTTCAAATTCACTGGTATGTTCACTTGGCCATGTGATAAGAACCTTATAACACAGAAAGTAAATATTACCTATATGTATGCTATGCTCCTGTGTACTTCAGTTTTCCACTATTGCCCTGTTTCTGAATGTCATGTAAGATAATCAGGGAATCCATTTTTTTTTTTTGGTGGGGGGGTGGGGGGAGGCTATGTATGCACAGGCATAGAATAAGCTTTTGGAAAACAAGATCACTGGAAGCCAAAGGGATCCATCTGAGTTCTGAGACCCCTCAAATATCACACAAGAAATAAAACCTGGCTAGATCTGACATTGTTATTGCATGTTCTCTAAACCTGTGGTTTCCAAAATTTCTGTGATGAGTTGTAGTTGGATATAACTTAACATTCCTGCCCAGAACATCAGAAATAGTCATGATGTGATCAGGCAGATAATAATAATAGCACAAAAATAACACCATTTTGAGTGCATACTATATAATGAGCACTACAAACATAACTCATTAGAACTCATGCAACTCTGGGGAGAAGGTACTGCTATCTTTCACCTTATTTCAGGTGAGGAATGTAAGAGTAAATACTATTTCTATGGGCACACAGTGAGCAAGCAGTGAACCCTGGGAGTAAAGTCCCTGAGTAGAGAGAAGATGATGACCTTGTGGTCACAATGGCTTTTCTGGTGACTATCAGATTATTTGGAAGAGAGAAACACAGGGTGGTGGCAACATCTAGTTTGTGGTTTCGAGAGCTATGCTTTTGGGAATTCTAGAACGAGCCTTGCACATGTACTCACTAATTTTGAGTGCTGGGCACTTTGTTAAGCATTCTTACCTATATTATTTCATTGAATCCTCACATCATCTCTCTGAGCAAATTCTATTAGGATCCCTACTTTACAGATTAGTAAACTGAAGCCCAGAGGCACCCTTTTTATTACAGAAATAGCTTGGTTGTATCTTCAAGTCTGTCACTCATTGAAGGAATACCAAACAACAGTGTAGATTTTATTAAAAATAGTAGTAGCAATAAAGATAGGAGTAATACCAGAATTTTTCATTTACTGAGCAGGCTTGCTTTGCACCAAGCACTATACACACCTGATCATGTACATGATCAAATGAAAATAAATTTATTTTTTAAATTATTAAAGACTAGCCCCTTTATTCATCTTGGGAGAAAAGGGAGAAATAATTTAGAGATAATTACCCTTTTTCTGTCAAACGACAAGTCTTTAATACCAATGTTCACATCAAGAGATTCCACGAGAAATTTCCGTGCTTTTGCAGAATCCAGGTAGCAGTCGGGGCACTGACAGTTGTCTCTCAGCCACACGGCAGGGTAGAACGACTCTGTGCCATCGTGCCAGAGAATCTGCATCAGATGAGCCCCGTCCAGCACTTCTGCCTTCTGAATGGCACAGTGCATGTTTCTGGTCCTCGCGGCTTAATCTTGTCAGCTACCTGCAATGACAAATTGGTGTTAACAGGGATCTCTGGCAGCTTGAGTCTGAGCTTGACCTCTAAGAGTGTGTGAACGCGTCACGTGGACTCTGGCTTTGGCTGTTGGCTCATCTGCCAGAGTTTGCGGTTTGATTTATCCATGCTGGGACCTTTGTTCTGGTGAGAATATTTCATAGGTTGCAAACAGAAACACAGTCACTAAAAGTCAGTAAGATAAACATGCTGAGTCAGGATCCAAATGAAAAGAATTCCTTTTTTTCCTCACAGACATTTTAGATAATACGTTCAGGACCAGTGACATACACTTTTATAATTATGTGTGTATAAAAGCTCTGGAATGTTTTTTAAGGGAGAAAAATGCTCCATAAATTGAAAGCACAACAATCATACCTGCGCTATTTTAACTGATGCCCAATTACACCTACGTTTTGAAAAAAAAGTTTCTATGGCACAAAATTAGTAAACTTGTTTTAATAAGGGGAATATTAATGCAATTTTTAATTTTATTTTAAGAGGTTCTGTAATCTAGTACATTGTATCATTTCTATTCTATCATTTTTTTTTTTTTTATCCTCACCCGAGGATATTTTTCCATTTTTTGTACAGATAGAGTGGGAGGGAGAGAAAGGAAGGGAGAGAGAGAGAGAGAAACATCGACGTGAAGGGACACATCGAGTGGCTGCCACCCGCACGACCAACCAGGGCCGGGGACAAACTGCAACCGAGGTACGCGCCCTTAGCGGGAACCGAACCCGGGTCTCTACAGACCGCAGACTGACGCTCTAACCGCTGAGCCAAACTGGCCAGGGCTCTATCATTTTTTTTAACTTATGTAGCGCATTTTCTCAATGCAATATAAAAGTCCCTCGGCTCTGCAAAGAACTCGTTTGGTTTGCTGTCTGAGATTTTCTTTTTTAATAGAGCACGCCTTGATATTTTGGTTAGTTTACTCCAACCCTTTAATGAATACTTTGATGACTTTTCTTGGAATGCATCACTTCTTCTTAGTAAGAAATCCACCAAAGTGGAGCGGACGCAGTCCTGACAGGAAGGGGTGGGGTGGAAGCCTGCCACGGTGCTGTGGACTGAGCGCCCCAGCGTTCATTCTGACTCCAGTCAGGACTGTGCATGTGACCTTCAGAAATCGTATGTGTCCTAAGTCTCACTTTCTGCATGTATTATTTTCCAGGACTCTGAACTTATGTGGAAGAAATAGAATTTATGTCGAAGATGTAGAACTTCTTCCACATTATAATTAGCTCTCATTAATAGAAGGGACACATGACAATGGAAACGAGACTACATTCTCTTGGGATTAAAAGGAGGCGTACACATGCGTGCACGCACACACAGATATACACACAAAATGACTGTTTCATAAGTATCTCCTGGGTACCAGGCCCTGTAGTTGTCAATGGAGGGTTCAGCGACGAGCTAGACAAATGCCTCCCTGTCTTTCTTAAACTCATCGAGGAAAACTTTATACATCATTACAATAAGTTAAAAAAAACAACCAACAACACTTCCCCAACATTAAAATAAAACAGCTTTTAGGTGATTGTTTTACATATACTTCCTTAAATCATTAGCTTGGATAATCTAGTCAGGTTATAAAACAGAGCCAACACACACACACACAAAGACTGCTTTCTTCATTTAGCTAACTCCCTCTAAAGTTATCTAATGATGGAAAAGAAAACATGATTCATTGGGATTCATGGTTGTTTCTACTTGGTAACTCCCATCTATTTTCTCTTAATAACTTATATAGCAACAGGAGAGCATTATTACCTAAAAAAATCATCTAAAATATAATTATAACCAAGATTTGGAAGCAGCCCAAGTATCCATCAGTAGATGAGTGTATAAAAAGCTGTGATACATTTACACAGTGGAATACTACTCAGTCGTAAAGAGGAAGAAAAGTTTATCCTTCGCGACAGCATGGCATGACCTGGAGAACATTATGCTAAGTGAAATAAGCCAGTCAGAGAAAGACAAGTACCATATGATTTCACCTATATATGGAATCTAATAAGCAAAATAAACTAACAAGCAAAAATAGAAGCAGACTCATAGATACAGAACAGACACACAGATGTCTGGTGTCAGGGGGCGTGTTGGAGGGATTGGGCAAGAAAGAGAGAGAATTCATGGACATGGATAACAGTGTGGTAATGGGGGAGGGGAGGTGGAAGAGGGCATAGAGGGGATAAATGATGATGGAAAAAATAAAATAAAATAAAAATATATATAATTTAATTTAAACTTGGGTGTTTATCTCATAGATTAAAATAGAGGCTCTTGTGAAACCCCAATATCAGTTTCTTTGTGGAATGAGTAGGAAATTTAGTTCTCCTGATAGAAGGGGAAGCTGGCAGGTTTTTCTCACATGAATAGTTTCAAAGGACAGTGATGATTCCAATAAGTCTGGGATAAGATAACTAGTTCATTAAATCACACATGATACACCTGGACAAAGTGGAAAAATGTAGTAAATTTTTATCTGAGTCGGGTTGGCAATCATTTTTGTAAAAGGGAAGATAGTACACATTTCAGGGTTTGCAGGCCATATACAGTCCCTATTGCATATTCTTACTTTATTTTTACAAACACTGTAAGAATGTAAAACTATCCTTGACTCATGGACTGAAGGAAAACAGGCTGTCGGTCGTATCTGGAGTAGGTTGCCTGTCCTTGACCAAGTTATCTAAGTCATGCTTTTACTACAGTAGGATATAACCACACTTAAATACAGAAAATGGTTCTCTTTTTCTTCTCATACATCAGGTGAAACTGATTCAAACATATACTAAGTATCTTTTTTTTTTATCCTCACTGGAGGACATTTTTTTTTTTTTTTTTTTTGCATTTATCTTCAGATAGGGCCGGACGGAGAGGGTGGGAAGAGAGAGAAACATTGATGTGAGAGAGACACATCGAGTGGCTGCCACCCACACGACCCCAACTGGGGCCGGGGACAAACAGCAACCGAGGTACATGCCCTTAGCAGGATCCGAACCCGGGACTCTCCAGTCCTCAGGCCAACGCTCTAACCGCTGAGCCAAACTGGCCACAGCGTAAGTACCTTCTTTGTGCCTGCTGCACTAGAGGGTACAAAGATCACCCTGAAGTTCTAGACCTCAGGGAAAAGTGAGATTATTCTGAAAGTCAATAAAAAGTGAGCCTGGGCACCAATGGCATTTAGAGTTGTCTGAGAGGCACCAGGAAACCTCCTTAGAGAAAATAAGAGTAAGTCTTAAAGGCTCTGTGATCAGTGCTGCTGAATGCATATTAATTCCATCTCCTTTTCCTTTCTCCTCCTTCAGTGTAAGCAGGTGACTAGGAATTAGCTATATTTCATAGCTTCTCTTATAGCTAAGATTAGTATGTGATATAATACTGGCCAGTGAAATATATTTAGAAGTTGCTGGACGGATAAAAATTTTTTTTAAAGAAGTAGACTTATCTGTCACATGATGTTTTTTCCTTCTTCCTGCCTGGAATGTAGATGTGTTATTGGCAATGGGGCAGTCATTTTGCAAACATGAGGCAAGAAGCAGAAGGTTAGAATCTAAAAGTAGCCTAGGCTCCCCATGGTTCTGTGAAATCACATTGCCAGGACCGGACAGTGAGGTCTGGACTTGTTTTTACACAATAAAAATAAACTTCTTGCGCACGGAAACGTCTTTCTGCCAGCTTTTCTGGCTATAGATAGGTTGGGTCACACAGAAAAAAGCATGAGAGCTCCTTCCAAGGAGAGGGGGCAGAATGAGCCAAGGGACAAAGATTTGAAAGTATGGAGTTTAAACAAGAGAAAATATTTGGTGTAGCTGGTGCCAAAGGCTATGAGAGAGAAAACAGGTCAAAAGAAATGAAAAGGTGTGTTGTTACCAGATCAAGGAGCATATGCACAGAGGAGTTTGGGCTTTATTCTGTTATAAATGGAAAATTTTAAATATATATATTTTTCAGGCAGGAGATTGGCAAGGGCGATGATACTGAGAGTGTTATAATGTATTGAAAACAGGTAAAAACACTAGAATCAGATGGTTTGGAGTTTTTGTGGTAACCAAGTTAAGACTACACGAGAGCCCTGGCCGGTTTGGCTCAGCGGTTAGAGCATCGGCCTGCGGTTCGGAGAGACCCGGGTTCGGTTCCCGCTAAGGGCATGTACCTCGGTTGCAGTTTGTCCCCGGCCCTGGTTGGGTCGTGTGGGTGGCAGCCACTCGATGTGTCCCTTTCACGTCGACGTTTCTCTCTCTCTCTCTTCCTCTCTCTCCCTCCCACTCTATCTGTGCAAAAAAAATATGGAAAAATGTCCTCGGGTGAGGATAAAAAAAAATAAAGACTACACGAGAAAGGCGGGAGTGGAGGTATAGAAGGATAAGAGGGGAGGACAGGTGTAAGCAATGTTGCGAAGTTATATTTGAAAATGTCTCTCAGTTTACGTCCTCATACATTTTTCTTTTTCTTTTTTTTTTTATTAAAAACCATTTTATGGAAAAGAATGGCTCCCCCTCGCCCCCCCCGATTCTACAAGAAAACAATTTTTTTTTGAGCCTGCTTAAAAATAGCAATGGCTATAATCTGTTGAGGATGATCAAGAAATGCAATACAGGATGCAACTGCTCACATGGACAGCCCTATGAAAATGTGGATGTGTTTACCAGGCATGCGGTTACACCCAGGTTTCTTCTAGTGAAAGGCTATGCTTTTTCAGTGAGTGGAAACTAGACAAATGGGGAGGATTCTGGTGTCACAGCAAATAAATATCAACAGGAATGATGGAGAGCCCAGAGGCAACATAGAAGTAGGAAGAAATTATTTACATATATCCTGTTTTGTTTATCTTGTTTTTTCTTTTTGCTACTTAACCTGTGTTTATAAACTGATGGATTCATCACTTGCTAAAATTACTTGCCAAGAATCAAGGGCAAAAAATATCTCAAAATATCAACACAT